ACCAGTTTGATCTACATCAAGATTTCTGCGTTTGAGCATTCTGGACGCTCATAACGCCTTTGGTGTGATGCAGCATTAGACATGGCTATCAGGAAAGACGCAGTAAAAAAGCTGTGATGACTGTGGAGGAGCTGCAGGATCCTTAGGTCAATGGGTTAAAGGCCTTCCTTCAAGCTTTGAGCTAATGGCAAGAAGGAAGCCTGTGTTAAAAGAAAACGGTGCAACCAGTGGAGAAGCTGCTCTGCTCAGATAAAACCAACAATCTATCATGTGGAGAAGAGTAATCTGTGCCTAACCCTGAACACAGTGTAGATGTACAAACAAACTGGTAGGAAATGGTGAGAAGATGTATGGGACGTCTGTTAGAGCCCGTAAAATAATTGGTATGAGGGTGGAGGTTCTGCTTCCAGCGAGAAACCTTCCCTCCCTGCATGTCCAGAGATACAAAGGGACGTTTTAGATGTAGGAGTGTTAGAAAAGTGTAATTGTCATCGTTTTATTTGTACTAAGTTACAGGAATTCCCTGTAAGGAATGTTGGGTTGTTTTAACTTTAAACAGGGAGAGAAAATATGTCTTCCAGGAAGGGCCTGGCCTTATCCAGCTGTGCTGTTGCAGCTGATAGATCACCACCCCCCTTTTTGTATATGTGAACTTCTGACCCCTCCTGTTACTCCTCTGAAGTCCGATAATAAAGGCAGGGGGCAGAGAGGTCCCAGCAGAGTCCACCACAGACATTCAGGGAGTGTCTGGGTCCACCCTCCTCCTCTGCAGTAAAGTAACCTGTGTTTGTGTTGGTTTAGTTCTACTGTAGGACAATAAGGGGTTATTATCATTAACCCTAAAAGGGAGTATTCATCTGTTGGAATGGCCTAGTCAAAGTCCTGACTCACATCCGACTGAGAAAAGGAGATCCCCACCAACCCAGTCTGACTAAGCCTGAGCCAAAACATAGGAGGATGATTTAGGGGTTAGATGTGCAAAGCTGGCAGAGACGTACAGACCTGCACTCTCAGTTTGTGTGATTTTGTTGTTCTGTCACAAAACAAATGAATAGATTTGACTTCCTGGTTTTAATGTTAAAAAATGATTAAAAGGTGCTTTTAAAGCCGTTGGCTGGACTAGACAGCTGCCTGGTGATTAGCTGCACTAGTGAAGATGAAGCCAGATAGTGACTCTCACCCCCCACCCCCTACATATCCTCCCGATCCAGGAGATCAGGTCGGTTTTAGAAGATAACAGCAGGTCAGCCGTACCTCCATATTGGGTTTGAATCTGTCCTCAAACACGGAAACGGCAGCAGCAGCTCCTGAGCCTAAACACAGGAAACAAGAACAGGGCATGAACACAGGGACTGCTGCAGATTCACAAAGATTCAAACTTTTTACTTCGATCAAGCCAGACGGACAATAAGGAGAGCAACGGCTTTACCACCAACCAGAGATTGTTCCCATTTTGTTAGCAGAAAGCTCTGTTAATGGGATCCACAGAAAAAAATGACTTATTTCCCCTGTTCAAAAAATCTCTCTTAGGTTTTTGCATGATGACTGTTAGTGTGCAGGAATGGTTTGTCTCTGTGTTGCCCTGCGCTAGACTGGCGACCTGTCCCGGGTGATTCCCGTCGGTGTTCTGACAGATCAGCATACCCCGTCAGACCAACATACCTATATTTAATATGCATGCGCAAGACGTCGGATTTGCGTTTATCCCTTTAGTTTGTACGAAAAATAAACTTTAAACTACCTCAGTGGGCGTGCTTCCCTTTAGTCATGTACAAAAAACAATTTAAGGTCAGATACGCCTCAAGAAACACCAAAAAGGAAGTAATTAAATAATTTTTTTTGAACAAGGGATACACGCCTGCTGAGGTAGTTTAAAGTCTATTTTTACCAAACTAAAGAGATAAACTGGTATTGACTATGAGTATGCTGGTCTGACTGGGTATGCTCACCTGACCGAACATCAGTGCTTTCCATTGCTGTCCAAAAAATTGTGCAGAACAGAAAACTTTCGCATTGCATAACACACGAAGACACCGCAAAGAATGCTAGTGGATTGGTTAAGATCACTAATAAGAGGTCAGGGAGGGATATTCACTATGACTTCACCACTGGAGGCATCCTTAGGAGGAGTCAGGAGTTTGAGTAAAGCTCCTTGAGGGAGAAATAAACTTTAAAGCAACAGTTCCCATGTTTTTCTTTTC